GCAGAAATTATATTAGGTCTAAGAGTTGCATTACCACAGGTGACATAACTCTCCACAGCAGCTGACAGCAAGGCATGAGCTGCTGCTAACTCACTGTTCAGTGCAGCAGCTCTGGAGAGGCCTGAATTCCCATGAAAGCCATACATTTACCATATAATAGCATAAACATCCCCCACATTCTTTTCAGCTCTGTTACAGCACATCTAAGACATTCATCAACGCACCTGCTCAGGCAAAACAAAGGACTGCAGTAAAAAGCGGGTCTGGCTGACTTCACAACCGTCTCTCTCCAAGCCTCAGTCTCTGCTACCTACTTTTTGTTTTTTGACCCAAGCGAACATTTTTCTCTAACAACGTTTTAATTATCCTGTGAATACCTTGAACTAAAATAAGGAGGGCATGAACTAGTACTAGCCAGAACTTACTTGCAAATCAAAAGATAAAAATAACTCAAATTCTGAAAAGGTTAAAAGCGGCACATAGTTTACATCATGTGTTAAGATGCAGAAGCCAAAAATAAGTATCAGTGCCCCTTCTGACCTGCATAGTCTGATTCCCCTCCACTGTACCGCCCTCCTCCAGAAAATATACATCAGAACCATTTACAGCAGGAGAGCATAGATTCAAGTTTAGCCCTCCTTCTTGACAGTTGGTCTATAGCAGGCTTTGGGGACACTAGTTCTGTCAACCATATGTAAGGTACAGTCCACATGACAAACCCAACTCATAAGGCTACTGTGAACCATTTTTTTTTTTTCATTTAGCTTTGTCACTCTAGCAAAGATACTGTCAAAAAGCTTCAAAGTCAATGGGAAATACAATCTTAGAGCAGGACACTGAATAATGATACTGCCTGAGGAACCTTGATATTCAAGGTGATGCTCCTGCCAGCCCTGTCTCTCTCAAAATCTGCAGCACTGTCATATCACTTTAGAAATGTATCCCAGTAATCCATCATCAACCACCAAGGTCACTGCATATTCCACCATCCTAAATGACAGAATCAGCAGGAAGCTTGGAGTCCAGCTATATCCTGCTGCTGAGCTGACTGAACTGCAGCCTTGAACAGAAGAAAAGGAAGGTCAGCGACCATAAAAGCTTCTGAATTTTGAAATTTTAATACAAAGCCCTATTTGCAATTCACATAAAGATCAATATGCTTTTTCAGTTGTCTGTAAAGATGTATGGACATAGCAGTCTTCCCAAGTAAAAGCTGCAGGAAGACAATGGGCAGTAGGGAAGAAGCTCTCAACATCTTTAGAAATTTTAATACCCAGTCCAGCCATGGCTGTGACCTGACTTACAGAAACAGAGGCAAAGACCACCATCCCAAAAGAGAAGCTCAAGGACCGTGGTACTAGGTTACACCCTGCTACTGAACTTCTTTGCAAGTCGGAGTTCAAGAGTGTATTCAAGCTGGTACCTATGGATAGTAGTTAGTTAGTTGTAGTTATAGACAAGAGTTTGTTATAGTGAAGAATTAGTAATAATTAAAGAGAAGCTGAGGAGACCTCCAACAACTAGCAAATCATTAGTGAGTGAAAACAAGGATAGCACTGGGACATCAGTTACTCTTTACTATGCTCCAGAAAATTATTCTCTTACTTTAAAGAGTCTTGGGAAGACATCTGTTGGCTGCCCTCGCACGACAAACAAGCGAGAGTTGAGTTTCCTTAAACTGTTGTCCAGATCTTCCAGAGATTGAAGCAAAAATCTGCAGAGAAGAAACAGCAGCAGTTAATGCCAGTCAGTTCAGTTACAGCTAAAAGACAAATGAGGAGAATTTTCATGGAACTCAGCAAGCCTGCATCACCAAATCAAACTGAAAGTTAGGATAAGAAACAGAAAACAAGAATTCGTATTAATCCCTGGTCTGCCTACCAACTGCTAGAAGACTGCCGCACCAGCCAGCTCCCAGCCTTTGATATGGATGTTCTGCTTGTCCAGATGCAAGAGGTTTCCAGGATTTTTTTTCTTCCTGCAACCCCCTTCCCATGTTGTCTCTCAGAGCTGGCAGCACTCCCCCGCCAGCTGCTCTCTCCACATTATGACATGGAGAAAAGCACACACTGTGCAATTTCCTACAGTATATTATTTCATGGGCTCTGGGGCAGGAGGGATTTTGCATATGAAGTAGAAAGATGTTGATACACTACTCCAAGGAAGGTAATGAATTACTGCAAGAACTGTGCAAGTTTTACAGTTCTGGCTACAAATAGGCAGAGAAGTGTACACTCTTAGCTCATCAGTAGCACGAGACCGAGCATCAAGATCTCCCAAGGCAAGAATTATCTGTACTTAGAATGGTTGCAAACAGAACGGCAATTTATCTTCCACCATGAAGATGCACAGATGAGAGCATGCCATGACATTGATTATTTCCTCCCACTCCAAAAATGTAAAAAAGCATTTAAGCGCTTTTTGCACTTAATGGTGTGTCTTACTGATCCCACACTATGCTATAAGACATGAAAGGTATCATCTTTGCTTTCACAGCCACACATCACCCCACCTACATCGTAACTTCCCTTCGTTCTGTCTAACTCTGCAAAAGACACCAGCTTTAAAACTTAAATCTCCACAACAGCACATGGCACTGCTGCCAAACTTGCAACCCTTTGTGAGCGAGCCTGCCAACCTCTACCTCTCCCTCATTCTTACACACCGGCTCTGCAGTGTGACCTGCCCGACATGAGTATCTGCATCAGCTCCCTTAAGACCACACACAGCTAAGGAAAGCTAAGCTACAGCTGCCCTGCAAAGTGAGTACTTCCTCTCTCCTCAACAGCACTGCCCTTAATGTGATCTGCAAGCTTTGAGATAGAACAAGCTCTCTCTGCACCTCCTGAGGGAGAAAGGGACTTGGGGTTCATGGAAAGAAGGGCCCGGTATCACAGTACAGAAGACCCAGAACCAGGTCCGGGTAACCTAAACAAAGCACTTCCCTACCCCCAGCCCACTTTCCATCTATTAAATAGGAATATCAACTTTAAAAGGTGTTCTAAAAATCAAACAGGGGTTAGTCCTACATGGCTCACACGTGTTGCACAGTTAATTAATAAGGGATTTTCAACATGATAAATTTCTGGGAGCTAGGTAAAACACAAACGTTTGCTTTTGGAGCACAGAACTCTGAATATAAGTAATTGCATTAAAAAAATAGCAAAAAAAGCCAATGAGAACCAATGGAACTCTGGTAAATATAAGTAATTTGGCAATATGTTTTTGCCTAACAGCCAGTGGTGTTAATTTCTGACATGTGCAGTAGGCACACACCTTCAAGAAAACAGTATTTTAAAAAAACTTCACCTGCTCATACATTCCATGACGACAACATACATAAAACCACTACCTGATTCCCTCCCTCCGCAACGCAACACTGGTAGAAACAAACAAGGATTAAATGGATCAGGCATTAATCTTTTGGGGCCCCTGCCTTGGTTCTTGCAAATGAGGTCAATTAGCAAGAACAACAGCACGTGAAAAGCATTTCTGTCTGCTGCTGCCTGTAGAAAATCTGGTCTATGGAAAGATCACTTCAGGCTCCTAGGATATTAAGCTGCAACAGAATCCATAATTTTCTGTAATGTGAACATGTACATTGTGGGCATTTCTGCACACTCACAATTTTTAAGCCACCCTCTGATGTGGGTTCTGGAAATGCTTAGAAGTCACCCACACTATCCCATTCCTCCAAGATTAAGCGAAGGTGCACCGCAGAGGCAGTCAGTCACAACTACAGCTCCTCTAACGCACAGCCACATGACATTTTAACAATCCTTTGATTTTTAGCCAAGTGCTTGTCCTGTCCACTACCCTTAATGGGGTAGTGTGAGGGCTGAGGGAGATCTGCTTTGTTTGTACGCAGGGGAGTCTTGCAGAGGAGAATCCTTACCTGGCTTGGGTTTCCAAATGTTTAGCCAGCTGAGACCTGACACAATAGCATTATGTAATGTTACTGGCTACCAGTACAAGAAGTCCTGCTCCCTGCAGGCATGACTCATGCCATATATTTTCCCCATTTGTAGAGGGGAAAAGCCCTAACAGCCTCATCTCTACCTTCCAAAGTGCATTTTCGTAAAAACTGGAGGAATGGGAGGAAGGCAGGCCTGCACACATGCCCGGGTGCACCCAGCAGCCGAAGGGCAGCGGGAAGGCGTGGTGCAGCCACGCAGCTCCAAGGATTCTCTGCGCTTGACTCCAAATTCAGGGATAAAGCGTTTCCTAAACCTGAACGTCCGTTGGTTGCTGCTCTCAGCCAGTCGCCCGGCTCGTCAGGAGAAAGTCTAATGAGGTTACATAAAGTTGAAGGCACCCCCCCCCCCCCCCCCCAGAGTCAGGCAACACCGCTGCCAAAGCCCTGGCGAGGCCAAGCAGACAAGGCTCTGTACGGAGAGCACCGGGGGGGAAGCAAGTCGTGGGCCGGGCCGGGAAAGGCACCGGGATTTGGACCTAAAGGCGCTCCGGCCCCCCCTGGAAGCCCTTGCCCACCGCCAGGCCCATCGCTCCCGCCGCGTCCCGACCCCCTCCCGTGGCCTGAGGGCCCGACGTCTCCTCAGCCCGCTCACCGCCAGCGGTTGATGCCCACGGCGGAGGAGGCGGCGAACCAAGGGTCCAGGATATAGATGCAGCGGAGGGACGAGGCGTCCCGCAGCGCTTCCTGCAGCGCCGGGTTGTCGTGAAGACGCAGCCCGCGGCGGAACCAATGCACCGAGCGGCAAAGGGCCGGGGCCGGGGCGGCCGCCGCCGCCGCCATCACCGCCACAGACTGCCGCCGCGGCCCCCGCGCGCCGCCCGCGCCCGCCCCGCCGCGCTCATTGGCTGCCGTACGCGTACGTCAGCGCGGCGGCGCGGGACGCGCTAGCGGCGCTCTGCCGCCCCCTGGCGGCCTCGCCAGGAGCGGGGGAGCGTCACCCTTTCCCCCTCTCCCCCCCCCCCCCCCCCCCCCCCCCCCGCCATGGAGATACGGGCTACAAACATCGCTCCCATCCCTCAGCAGATGAGCGACCCCCGACTTTATTCAGCAGGTTTGGCCGTTACAAGTCAGTACATGCGTGCAACGTTTAAAAATGTCCGTTCCCATTAATAAAAATAAAAAAAAAAAATTCAAGGACACACCCCCCCCGACCACCACTCATGACAGTGCACTGGAAAGGAGTGCTCCTGGAGCAGGAGCCTCCCCAAATTAGAAATGAACATATTCTGGGCAGAAATGGAGTGTCCTTCTGTAGGAGGGACCGGACATCACACAAGGGGCACAGTACAGCACATAGGATCCCCGGGGCGGGGTGTGAAGTGGTCGCACCCACCGCCCAGGATCGCTATCCAAATAACCCTTGAAACATAAAGGGGTCTGAGGTTTAGAAAGCTGGTGTGACAACACAGCCAACTATGCAGGGTTGCTGCTGACCCTTGGGATCAGAAATCACAGCAGAGTAACCTCAGGTGACACTTGCACATGGGGGGTGCGAGGGGGGAAGCAGAGACTGTTGCAGAACTAACTGTTCAGCAGCAAGTTTCAAGTGAATGGATTGATGCAGCTCGGCCAAAATAGGATTTTTGGGGGGTTTGAAGGGTTCATAGAGCTGGCCAAGGAGGGGAACACGTGTGTGTGGGGATGTGTGTTTAAAAGGAACAAGCCAAAAGACAAACTGCAAACACCAGAGGAGGTCCAAAGCCGGTATGGAACAAGACCCCCAAAACAAGCCTAACTAGTAACAACCTCATTTCCAAACACAAATCTACCCCCTGCACAGAGGGTAAAAAGGAGAGGTGTGGCCAACCCCAGAAACCAGGACCTCCGCCTTACAGAAGCAAGTGCTTCAGAGTGACTTTCCCCTCCCGCCTGTCACAGCGAGGCAGAGGCAACACTCACTCCTGCCCAAAAAGGGCCACTTGAGCACACGTTCTGCCTCTCAGGACCTGATACAGAGGGAATGAGAAGTTTCATTCCTGATTCTTAAGCATGATTTCTTGAACTAAGAAGCCAGGTGGTGAGAAACACAGGAGAGACAGCAGGATGTGATACTGACTCTTTGGAAAGGAGATTTGGAGGCACTGCTGCAGTTTAGGCTTGTACAGAACCAGAAAGGAGGGCATTTCCCACCCTTCGCACTGAAATGGGCAACAGGAAGAAGGGCTGTTGCCACTCTTTTTACAGCAGAACAGTTTGCTAGAGTCTATCCCCAACAGTCTGGCTACCTGATTCTTCCTTACATGGAGGTTCAGGATTTTATAACTTCAGACTGCATTCATTGAGATAATTCTAGATCCCTAACTACACAGTCTTTGTCCCCTATGAGTCCACCCCCCAGATATGCAAATTGCCCAGATTAGGTCAATAGCAACATCCATTTCAAAAAAGAATCACAAAAAAACCTGATTGCTCTCTGTAACACATGCTCTCGCCAACTCTGATACAGGGTGAGATCTCATAGCTAGAACATGATCCAGTCAGGTCTTCAGCTATGGCTCCTAACACAGTTCCCCGTACACTTTGCAGGTGAATTTTTCCCTGCTCCTTGATCATCTTCTCCCCAGGAGGAAAGGAGCACCAAAGGTTAACCCCTCCGGGCACAGAAACAGAGGTGCAGGAGCTGCCTACACACCAGTCTCATTTCTTTCGCTGTTTTTGACATTAGGATCCTCTTGCACCTTTCTCATCTCCAGCCCTTTCACCCACGTGTAGGCAAAGGAGCCACCCAGAACCATCAAGTTACTCGTCCACCACAAGAAGCTCTTTGTCTCCTCAAAGTAGATGACAGCCAGCACTGTTTGGGCACAGGCCTTGGCTGTCCCAGATACGTTGTGGGTGAGCGGGCTAGTGAATTTAATCTGAAGACCAGTCACATACCCAATGGCAAAGCCAAACACTCCCCCCAGGGTCATCATGCCCCAAAAACTGGGGTTCCCCAGCTTGTCGAAGTGGTAGAGGGTGTGGAACTCGCCCAGCAGCAACATGAGGGGGAAGAACAGGACACAAGCATTGACGTTGTTGTAGAAGGTCAGGCGCCAGATGCTACCATCCACCACAGGCAGCACCTTCTTGGTGTAGATGGCATTGAGCGAGACACACAGGCTTGCTAAGATCCCAAAGAATATACCTGTCCACGACAGAGTGCCCTCTGCTCCTTCCTGGTCAACACCCAGCCAGAAGCCACCTGCAACCAAAAAAAATCAGGCATCATCTGAACAACTGCTGAAGGAGTCAAAACATATAGTCATCAACTCATCACCTACCTTATACTGAATAACCACAACCACAAGCAGAGACAGGCTTAAGGGCTTCCCCATTCTAATTAAGTGAACCCACAAAGTGTCATGACTAGTGTCCTGGGAAGATTTATTTGGGGAGTGCGGGTAACTTACTGTGCTATCAGTCGATCTCAGAGGACTGATTCCCACACTGAGCAAGCAGCATGAGTTTAGAAAATATTATTCCAAAGAGCCATCAGCTAAAGGTTGTTTTCAGATGATTTTTTTTTTTTTTTTTAAATTGAAAAGGCAGCAAACTGACACAGAGAGCAAGAAATATTCCTCAAGGTTGTGTTGTTGTTTTTTTTGTTGTTGTTTTTTTGTTTTTTTTTTTTAAAAAAAGGCCTCACAAGCTTTGCTGTACTGTTAACAGAAAGGGAAAGATAGGTCAGAAAAGAAGATGGAAAGATAGTAAACACATGGATGTAATATTAAGAAGCTTGATCAAAAAAAGATCACAAGGCAGAAACTGAGTGCAGTATCTTCAACACGTTAAACTTTGATGGGTAATGCACTCTTTAACCACCTCCAAAACAGGAGCTACAGGCTTTGCGTCTCCAGGGCAGAGAGGGGGACCTCTCCCCATCCAGCTCAGAAGCAAAACATAAAAGGGGAGATGAGCTACTGAAGGAGCACTGCACTGCCTCTCCATTAGCTGCTTCATGTTGGAGGCTATCTGGGAAGTTACCTGCGAAGCAGCTAACGTGCTTTAAACCAAGCCCAAATACAAATGGGTTCAATGCACAGACAGAAAGGGCTTTGCCACAGAGGATGCTCAGCTGTGCTGCTACAGGCATACAGGCAGTGCTCTCACAGCAAAAGGAGACGGAGCCAGGGGGGACAGAGTCTCAGAGAAACCCTGTAAGGCTGGCAGACACCACAGTCCTGGGCAATAACCAAATACAAGGCTAGCTGAAGGAAATGGCCTGCATCACTTGGGTTACAAAACCAGTAGTTCTGTTCCTGTTCACCTCTTCTATGGAGAGGAGATTCTTTTGTCTCTTTTTCAGCTGAGTCCATCCGCTTGTCTAAGCATCGAAGTGAACACATGTCCACCTGGAACAAGACTGAAGTCAACACTTTACCATTCTTGGCATCTAAATGGCCCTCCAGAAGGTAGTTTTTGGCATTACTGACACCATTGGAATGAAAGACTTGTAAGCAATTCCCGTTAAGCCAGTCAATGCCCTGCCCTACATTCTAACTGCACAACCCGATCTTCTGGAGGTGTTGTATGCTTGGCTTGATAACCTAACCCTTCACCATGCACATTCAGCCTATCTGAATCGGTTGGCTCCGTTGCATGGTCACAACAGTGCTGACAAACGCTGTTATTGTTACCAAAGTTAATAATCAACAAGCACTTGAGAATAGGGAGAAAGCCACCGGCTGTTTTATGGCCTCTGTGGGAGAGGGAAAAAAAAAAAAAAAAGGTAAGGCAAGTTAAACTTCATTAGAGAGTAGACAGGTTTTGGTGCTCAAAGTAAAAAGGGAGCCATGGTCAAGTAAGAGTAGTTTCCTTTCTTAACGAGTTACTGATACGCTCCAGGCATGTGAAGAAGGGCTGCTAGAGGCAGAGTGAGGCACAAGCCCTGAGCCACCCCACCTCACCAGGGAGCTGCCGTGCAGGTGGGGACGGCTTCCCAAGGGGAAGACACCCCAGCTCTGCCTCTCCGAGTTCATGGGGTGGGCGCAGCCCCTCTCCCGCTCCCCCTCACCTATGATGACTCCGCAGGCCAGGAGGGCGTAGAGGGAGGTGGTCTGCTTGAGCAGCAGGTAGGAGAGCAGCACGTTGAAGACGGTGGTGAGGGAGCGCCCCACGTTGTAGAAGGCCACGCCGACATGCTTGAGGCAGAGGTTGTTGGAGGTGACCATGCCGATGAAGACGGCAGAGAGGGGCAGGACGCTGCGGGACACCTTGGGGTCGAGGCGGAGGGCGGGCAGGCCGGGGCAGGGGGGCCCGCAAGCCGCCCCCAGGCTGAGGCCCAGGCAGAGGGCGGCCGTCAGGGCGCACTGGAAGAAGGTGACGAAGAGCGGGGCGTCGAGGCGCAGCGAGGGGCTGTCCAGCAGGTACTTGTTGAGGAAGACCATGGCGATGGAGGTGAACCAGTACAGGCAGACCACCAGGGCGATGCGCAGCGCCCGCAGCACGAAGGGCGCCCGCCGGCCGCCCCCCCCGCCGCCGCCCTCCGCCGGCAGCAGCGGGTCGGCGGCGCCGCCGCCCAGCGCCATCCGCAGGATCCCGGTCCGCGTCAGCTGCGCCCTGCTCATGGCGGGCGCGGGGCCCTGCGCCGGAGGCCCAGCCTCCCCCCCCCCCCCCTCCTCCTCCGCCGCCTCCCGCCGCTATTGCCCCGCTCACCCGCCGCCTCCGGCCCCACGCTTCCCGGAGCGCCGCGGCCCCGCCCGTCGCCCTTTATTCACGCCCCGCGGGCGCCGCCATTTCGGGGGAGGGCTCGGCCCCGCCCCGGCCGGGGAGCGTGTGCGTGTGTCTGTGTGTGCGTGTGTCTGTGTGTGCGTCTGTGTGTGTTTGTGTGTGTCTGTGTGTGTGTCTGTGTGTGTTTGTGTGTGTCTGTGTGTCTCTGTGTGTGTGTGTGTCTGTGTGTGTGTGTCTGTGTCTCTGTGTGTCTGTGTGTGTGTGTGTGTGTGTGTATCTGTGTCTGTGTGTCTGTGTGTCTGTGTGTGTGTGTGTCTGTGTGTGTCTGTCTGTGTCTGTGTGTGTCTGTGTGTCTGTGTCTGTGTCTGTGTGTCTGTGTCTGTGCATGTCTGTGTGTGTGTGTGTCTGTGTGTGTGTCTGTGTGTCTGTGTGTGTGTCTGTGTGTCTGTGTGTGTCCGTGTGTCTGTGTGTGTGTCTGCGTGTGTGTGTCTGTGTGTGTCTCTGTCTGTGTCTGTGTGTGTCTGTGTGTGTGTGTGGGGGGGGAAGTGGGGAAGTGGGGGCCCGCCATGAAGTCCGGGGCTGCACCCTGCTGCCTAAGCCTCCTTTACAGAAATAAAGGTTGCTTTTTTTTTTTTTTTTTTTTTTTTTTTTTTTGGGGTGGGGTGTGTGTGTGGAGGGGTGTGGTGTGTGTAAATAAAACCTTCCCCGCAGGACTTGCACGAAGTCGACATCTGCAAACAGCTCGTAAGGACGGTACAGGGAGGTGTGGGCTGCCTTCTTCCTCTTCTTGCAGCGTTAATGTTGAAATCTAATCAGGGAAATGTCACTGCCAGTGCCATTAACCACTGCCTTTCTGATGCACGACGCCGCACTGCCCTGCTACGTGGCAAGCAATACAGAAACTCATTCAAGGTAGTGTGCGTATTGGTGCAAGCTGCACACGCAGAGTCTCCTGCTAAAAGTTGTCCCAGTCCCAAATCATCGTTCCAGGTATAAAAGACCCATCTGCCCACACTCGCATGCCAAAATATCCCACCTTCTCTTAACAGTGCTTTATTACAAATGAGCCTTTTCAATACTCAACTCTCCAGCATGTGAATTCAAACTTCTGGACAGCACAAAATAAATCAACCTTAATACCGGATTCCATGTGGCAGGAGAGGTAGCAGTGAGATCAGTGTCCAACATCAGTCAGTATGATCTCCCACTCCTTATTTTAGCTGAGACTGCTGCAAAATATCTGGACTGCAATGTCCTGGGGCCCAGCAATTCACAAAGAGCACAATTAAGGGGATTTTGGAGGCAAGGCCAGCAGTGTTAATTGCCCTCGTAGCAGCTATGCTCTTGCAGTAGCGAAGGACAGAAGCGTGGGGAGAAAAATGATATATTTCATTAGACCAGTTGATACGGCTGGAAAACGTTTCAGGCGTAACGTGCTTTTTTCAAATCTCCAAAATCGCACTTCCCCTCCCACCCCCAGCTGCATCAGTTGGTTTAGTGAAAGATTCTGTCTTTCCTCATAGCCCTTCCCTGGTAAACAGCGCCTGGGTGCTGGCGGGCATCACGTTCCCTCTGGACAGAGAAAGTCGGTGCTTGGGTGTTTGCTCTGGGCTGCCCAAGCGCCCCACGGGGGGACGGAGAGCTCCTGGGTACGCGCGGAGCACCGGCTCTCCCCCTCGCACCTTGTGGTGGGCTATCGGGTGCCTCTCCAGCCTGGTAGAGCCCTCGCGACCTGAGTTTTGCCTCCTCCCCTCCCTGACCCCTCCGCTCTGCCCGCCGGTGGCCGGGAGAGCTGCAGCGGGCGCGTGGTGTTTGCCGGAGCGCACACGGGGCGTGGGGGCAGGCGGACGCAGGGAACAGCAGAGAGCATGGCTCTGCAGAGGGGGGCTGGCATCAAGGCAGGGGAAGCTTCTATCGAAATGCTGGAAATGACCGGCCGGTGGCCGCTCTAGCTCAGCCGCGCTCTGATCCTGCTGCTAGAAGCGCCGTTAGCGCTTACACATTGCAAGCTTCCCGTCCAGCCACCGTTCCCATCCACCTCCTTCCAGCGCCTGGCCCAGAGCTTCTCCCATAAACGGCGTTGGTTGGGTAAGAAAAGGAAAGCAAACAGCCTGGATGTGGGACGCTGGGTTCGTTCTAGAGGTCCCCATGGCCTGTTACACATACCTGTGGCTTCAGCATTACACATTTGTCTTGAGTTTCAAAGAAATGACCTCTCCTACCACAAATGTTACAAGTATGACAGCACCTCTGGCAGAATCAGAGCCAGATATAGATATTTCCCCCCCACTTGCTGGTGTTGTTCAAAATGTCTTCTCTGAACTAAACAGAGAAATTAGAGATAGCAAAAAACTCAACCCTCAATTCCATCTTGTCCACTCATTCAGCACATAGAAGATTGCTTTGTCCTGCACAAGTTTGAAATATCCCAATCAATAAAATGTTCATCGCTTCTCTTGGGGGATTATTCTCCAGACTTATCACACATGTATGGCACGTCTGCATGGGAGAATTGACCAGAACAGCTCTCTCAGCTCTGCCAATATAACTCCCCGGTGTTGACAGTGTATTCCAAAATAAAAGTGATTTATTTTCAAATAATCAGGTAGTTCTGTGATAGTTGTGCTGGTCAATCTCCCTAGGCAGAGCTTGTCTGCAGTGTGGCAGTGGTTCTGACAAGTGCTTTGAATAAAGGCTTGCCCAGGTGCTAACACTGACTGGCAGAGTTAGTCTGCCATAGCCATGCCTGACTACCTGCCTCACAGGGATGCTCTGCTTTGGGGGGAAGGTGATTTAAAATTGTAGGTGATTTAGAAATTTCGGAGTAAAGGTGGTAATGAACAGGTTATAATGCTAATTGAAGCTGTTGTGACAGTGTAGCCTGGCCTCCTGCACAGCACCAGCCTTAGGCTTTCCTGAATTAATTCCTACTTGAATTAAAGCTGATCTTTTAGGAAAAAAAAAAAAAATTCAGTCTTGATTAAAAATACTTCCAGGGAGACTGAATTCAGTAGGGTGATAGCAATATTATTCCGATGGATGGTTATTTCCCACTAAATAACACTCACTCTTTTTCATGCTTGGAGTTGCCCGGTTCAAGATTTCAGCCTCTGGATCCTGTTACAGCTGTGCTTATTTTTTTACAAGCAAGTGCTTACAGGCAGATGAAGTTACCTTTTAACCTATTTTTTTTTGAGAAGATAAATACATTTAACTTCCTTACAGAACATGTTTATTTTGCTACAGCAGCAGCAATTCACTTTCTTATGCAGACGAGACCTAGGTATTTTCCTGCTGTGCTGCCTGGTTTTATATTAACACGATAACACATATCATGAAGAGCCAGCACAGGATTATTTCTGGTTTAGGAGTGTGCTGCTTCATGTTCCCTGAGTGCTTTCAAAATAAACAATTATCACTAGTGGAGGTCTGAGGCTGGAAAATAAGCAACTTTGTCAGGTTCCTCGTGTTGGGAAATCTGGCAGCTTCAGTAGCATTCTTGTTCCCGTGTCCTGCGAGGTGCCTGCGCTGCTGCTGGCGACTGGCACGCCTGCCTGCCTGTGGGCATGCACACACACACACACACACGCACTCCTGCATCTTATTTAATTCTTTCCTATGTGAACAGAAAACCTTTTAAAATATGACAGGCGGTGTTCCTCTGAGGGAAGAGCTCTTCCCTTCCCCCTTAAATTATGTGACCTACTTGAAAGCAAGCAAATCAGCTGATATCCATCAGCCTGGCTGATAAAATAGCAATAGGCTATGGGGTATAGGTCAAACCCGGTGGTGAGACAGCATAAATTGCATTTCCTGGCCACACAAGAGACCTGGATGTACCAATCAGTATGTTAGTGTGGGAATAGGCCCACACTAGTCATGTAGAATAGAAAATGAAGCAGAAGAAATCGTTGCCAGATTTGAATGTTTCTGGGTCTTCGAGAAGACCCGTTTGAGGTTAGATATAGGGCTCATTCTACTACCTGGAATGGGACGTGGGAAGAAACCAGTTCAGCAGTGAGGTCATTCCAGTGTATTTAAGGATCCATTGTTTCTTGTGTGTATGGGGATCTGACTTCCAGTTAATGCAAGTATTCCTGATGCAGACAGTTATAAAGTATGGGGCTTATGAGTCAAGGCATCAATCTAGCTTTCTATATGTATACACATACACATATATATGAACATATATGTAAGTATATTTATACCTGTACATATGCATAAATGTGTGTGGGTATGCTCAGCCTACATACAGTCAGTGATCCCAGAATGGTGACCAACAACCCAGGAGGGTTCACCTGTGACAGTGTTAACTTTATTGGACCTACTGGTGGTTCATCTGCGTTGCTGTGCACCTCAGCAAAATTCCTTGAGCCTTCAAGGTTTCAAGTTTGAACTGCAGATATTGCCTGGTAACAACAAGTCTCAGCTGTCACACCTTTGTTTCATATTTGTTGAATGCAGAATCCAATTGTAACAGGAGTAGGCGGCCGATGCAAAATCCAGGCCTGATTTATCAGGTCAGAACAGCCAGATCAGGTCTTTCTCTGCTAGGTAGTAAACATGAACCAGGGTGAGAGAATAGAGAAATCTCTTAGTATTGTTCCCAAGCAACAGCTGTTTCTAGCACTGGTGTTTCCCATTACGATACAGCATCTTTCCAGACTCTCTCTGGTTCGTAGGAGAAATGGCCATGTCAGGGTAGTGCTACCATAGCTCTCTGTTGTGCAGGAAAATAGATGTCTTTGCAGTCTCATCATGGAAAACCATTGAGCACCTGGGGAGTCCAGTGCAGAGGTGGCTTGGTGTCGCTGCAAAATGGGAACAGCTTTGATCCAGGTGGATTTATTAGCTGTGGTTCTGTGCCAGCCTTATTGGCCCAGGCAGCTGCTGCAAAGATGCTTTGGTGCCTGCCCCGCACGTTGTCCTCCAGCACTGGTGACACCAGTTGGAGGGCACTTGGATTCAGCTGCACCCAGCTCAGACACTTTCCTGGTCCCCAGAACGGGGCTAACTCCCAGCTGGATCCAAACAAGCTCTGAAACTGAACTGAAAGCAGCACTGTCTGGGCTCTTCAGCCTCCACTTTTCTGGTGCCAAGGCCCTGAAGCAGTCATGCTGACTCAGCTCTT